GAGGAATCTCCAAACTGATTTCCACAGTGGTTTCACCAGGAACGGTGGTAATTTTAATTGGCCTCTTTCTTTCTCTCCTATGTGCACACCCATATCATGATGACATTGTCTTTATTGCACAAATCTGTGGTTTTCCTCAGTGGTAATGCGTGGTCTTATCTGTTTGCCCCTATAGAACAGAAAGCCATCGACTGGAGGCTTATAAGCCACACTTATTTGTCACAGTCCAAAGGCTGGAAGTTTTAGGTCAGGATGTCAAATTCTGTCTCTTCCTAGGGCCCTCTTACGAGTTGCAAACTGCTGTTTTCTCATTATATCCTCACATAGCAGTAATTGGTATTTCTCTGATTATACAGTGGTAAACTTTTCGTCTTCTGGGTGTTTCTGTTTTTGTGTACTACATGTCTATTTCATGGATCCAGTTTTTGTTGGGGAGTTTTTCTGGGTTGTGAGGGACTTTTAACAGTATTTAATTCTTAAATATGTTTTAATACTCCTTAGTCAACCATCCTATGAGTAAAGGGTTTCCTCCAAGAATCCTTATCACAGATAGTATTTGCTGAGACCTTGAGGCTAGAGTGACCTCAGTTTAAATCCAGAGCCCTCCAGTATTAACTACGAGACCTCAGGCAAAGAACTTTATGTATCTGAGCCTCAGTTTCCTGGTAAGATAAAAGTGATAGAATCTATGTCATAGGGGTGCTGTGAGACTTAAGTGAAGATATGAGTTTTAAATTCTTTGCATAAAACCTGGCAGCAGGAACCCTACTCAATAAACGATAGCCATTGTCCTTATTACTGGCAAGTATTTCTGTTCTGTGAGGGAAAAAACCATCTTCAAAAGGTCAAGCTACTTGCTTGAGGGAAGAACACCCATCCTTTAAAAGGCCTGGCAGGGGGTGCTGCTGATGTCCTGAGATGCCTAGAAACAACTCTTTGGGTTTGGGGGCACCAAGAAAAGGAGAGGGATTTGGGTGTACTTTTTCACCTTTCTGGGCAAGAGTAAGATTTGATTTTTACATAAGTTGGCTCCTGTGTACTATATTGTCTCTCCCACCCTGTCTTTCTCCCCTTTCCTCATTGAAGATCTGCAGCACAGCCTCACTCACTTGGCTGTTTTTGTTGGCTTTGTTGAAATCAGTTGACCTTCACACTTAGTTTTGACTTCCTCATGGGTGTTATGGTTGCAGCACTTAGCTCTATGGTCCTAAAGCACCCCTTTCCTTTTGTGCCACCTGAGACCTCCCCTTCCCGGTCCCCTGGCAATGGGAACTATGTTTAGAATGCAGAATCCTGGTTCGCAAGATCATATCACAGTCACCCAGGTCTTGTCTGTGGCAGCAAATTCTTTCTGGATTCTATTTGGACAGCTGTGGACTCCCTCTCCAGAACAACAGAGTCTGTTGCTGTCTTTTCTACCACACACCGGAACAGAATCCCATGTCAGGAAGGACAATGCTGCCTTAGATGTTGTAAGAGATCAGCAAGGGACCCTTTAACCAGGGCACTGAGCTTCTACATATGGTAGTTCGTTGGTAAAAGGGAAATCACAGTGATCTTTTCTCCTTCTGAGGTTTAATAGAGGAACTTGAGGTCTTACAGATAGATCATACGCTGTTCTTGCAGAATATCTGGCCCTTATGTGCAGATGAGGCTGTGTGACCCCAAGAATGCCACTGCTCCTCTCTAGGCCCTGGTTTTCCCATCTGTAGCAAAGGGAAAATGGGCCCCTGTAACTCCTTCTCCACTTGCTGATGGTTTGCAGTGATAAGTTAGCATGAGTGTAGAATGGGACACTTTTTGGCCAGGACTTTTGCGTGTTTTCCATGTAGCTCCAGTGAGCTAACCTCTTGTATTCTCCCACAGGATACCTAGATTCTTTTATAATTATTCTATGAAGAGAATTTTATGCATATACGTGTGGCACAAGATGCATGTACTTATCCAAGATTGACCAGAGTGTAGACAGTTCTCTCTGTGTGTGTGTGTGTGTGTAAGGCTGGAGAAAACAGGAGCCGGACTACCAAAACCACAAATCCTTGAATTTATTCTCATACAAGGAAAAAGCACCAAAGAGTTTTTAATGTGTAGTCTTCTACCTGCATTTTGTCTTTTTTCTTTCCCAAATTCTACTCTCTTAATGATGCCAACTCGACCATCCCATTTAAAACTTCAGTCTCCCTTGTACCCCATGTCCCGATCACTCTGCTTCATTTCCCCCCATAGTATTTATGACCCTGTAGTACCCTGTTTAATGCATGTATTTGTCATTCCTTTTTCTGCACTCAGATGCAAAGTCAATGAGAGCAGGGATCTCTGTGCTTTGGGGAAGGCATCCTCAGTCCCTAAGTTAGTGTGGATCCCACTGGGGACTGCAATGGATGCTAGTTGATTGAATGAATGAGTGAATGAATGAATGAAGTCTCTTTGTGCTTTACTGTTTGCCATGGGAAGGAGGATAATCAGAAGTAGCCTCTGAGACCTAATGGTTTTGTTTCCCATGCAAGCTGTGACTGATTTGGGGTGGTGGGCAGAACAAGTGAGAAAATTACCGCATAGAAACAACAGGAAGAGCAGCATCTCCCCACCTGCACCCTAAACAGAGGTCCCTAAGAGGAGTGAGAACTGAGAAGCTTAGAGCAATGGGCCTGCGCTGACTTCCAGCCGGGTCTCTGGGGCAACACAGGAAGAATGGCAGTAGGGTAAGGTCCAGCAAACAGGATGGAGAAATCTGTGCCCTACGTGGCCTAGGGACAAAGATACAAACTCAAGCGTGTCCTGTTTCATGAACTCAGACCAGGGAGAAAGGCAACCAATCATGAGAATTGACAGACAATCCTGTCAGAGGAGGGTAAATATAAAGTGTGATACCTACAGGAAGCCCTGCCTGGACTGTGAGGTTATAGCAAATCTTAAACAGAAGGAAGGCAGGTGGGTGACAGAGCCCTGGGAAGCATCCTGCCCTTGAGCCCTCTTACTTTGCACTTTCTATGCTCTGTTGCTGCTTGCCTAGTATCCTTAGCTTGGCCTAATTCCTCTTGTGCAAGCGTCCAGCTGGATCCACATTGACAGTTCTCCCCTGCTGCTGCTTTTCCTGTATTTCCAAAGGCTCTCACTAGCTCCTTGGATCTTTTTGGTGATTCCATGGCCAGAAGAGCAGAGAAGACTACCGTGGAGAGGAAATGACACTCACTCAGAATCTACCACGAGGGGTGGCTGATCTGGGACTCCCAATTTAGCCCTGGCCCAGCACCATGGCCAATTCCAAAGGTTGTGTGCAGCCTCTGCTGCTCAAACTAGTACATCACAAACTGGCCTCAGACTAAGGTGCAAGAGAGAGCAACAGTGCAAAAAGGGATGCCTCAGATCCTGGAGAGGTCTAGACATTGTACCCACCTGTACCTGAGATACTTGTGTGTATAATCCCAAACAGCATTTTGAGATCCAGGCTTCGGAGGTGTGGTGGTTTTAAATCTCAAGTTCTTAGACATCCCTCCCATCAAGAGGCAGAGTTTCTGTTCTCTCTGGCCAACCCCAGTGCCTCAAAACCAGTAGACTACATTAGAAGCAATGCCACAAGGCTTGTGAGGCTAAGCCATGAAAGGCAATCCGGTTTTACAAGATGAGAGAGTTCTGGAGATTGGTTGTACATCAGTGTGAAAACACTTCCTACTACTTATGTGTACACTTAAAATGACAGTTACATGTTATACTGTATGTATTTTACCACAATTTTAAAATCAATCACTATACATGGAATCTTGTTCTACCACCAAAAGGAATGAAGTACTAATATATGTTGCTACATGGGTGGAATTTTAGATGAAAGAAGCCAGTAA